CTTCTCCAGGCTCATTTGTACTTCATTAACTGCCATTGACTTAACAAGATTTATGCAAATGACACCATAGGAGCTCGCTAACTCCCACTGCAATCAAGTGATTATGTATGTACAATTCTCCACAGCAATGAAAAATTAATACATGACAAGCCCCCTCACCGCTGAGCTGAGCTTCTTGCTTTTATTTTTCTTGTTGTGCTTTTTTTTATTTGAATATGCCCTACTGATAAAGATTCAGCAAGACTGCAGAAAATAAAGTAATCTTCCCAAAACGCTACAACCCCTCTGATCCTAGAAAGTACGTCACCCTAAACTGTACAGCCGAATACGTGCTTTAAAATATTCACTGAGGCTATCAGGAACAAGTCAGAATAAATTTTCAGAATACATGGTTTTGAACAGAGAATACCCCAAACTTCACCCGAAGTTTGCTTTAAGGGTGCTACTGGCAATGCTACACAAGATAGCTTAAGTATTTTTAAGTTGAAGCACCTCTTTCTCAGAAGTACAGAACTTTCCATAGATTTTAACTTTGGGCTAATACTATTGCAGACATTTTCTGACTCCGTTTGATTAGCAGAAGATATTTAAATAGCACACACGTGAGACTTTTTTTTTTCTTTTTGGAAAACTATGGCACTCCAAGTTCTCAAAGGATGCTAAAAGCACAGGATTTTGGGCATGCTGATACAGCTATGCATGCATAAGGTGCTTGTACCTCCCTGGGAAATTTGCCTTCCCAAAATTATACTCACCTCAGAGTACTTTGGCAGAAGCTAGCAGCCACATTTTAAAAACAGGCCTGCTTTTCATTGTCTACGTTTTGGGTTTCTGCTGGGAGCAAGAACGTCCGTCAGAACAGTTTTATATGGCTTAGCCCAATAAAACCATATTTAGCACGGCAGTGAAAAGTGATTTTTAATATTTAGAAGGGACAGAAAGAATAAGAACATTAACTCTTTTTGACCAGATTGCTTTGAATTAAGGATAAAGCCCTGAAGGAGTGAGGTGTTTCCTTGGAAAGAAATACGCCATTTACAATTTTACCTATTTCCCCCAAACTCTCAGGGAGTCAAGGAACCGAGAACAGGAATTCAGGAGTAGGTTGCAACTCTTGGCTTCTTTTGACCAAAACCCACACCAAACGCTAGTAGCTGTGGTCTCAGAAAGGCTGCAATACCGAATTATAAGCAACTCCCTATGCCAGCATCGCTCACTTCACAAGATGTGTTATGTGCATTTAGAGAGAAACCAGGAGAGAAATGAAAAGACCCTACAAAACCCCACTCCTCTACCAGTTTAAACTATCTCCAAATGTACAAAAGCATCACTTTGAGATAGACATCAACCCTATGTTGGTTCAACAACTGCAACACAGACCCGATCTATGAAACAACTTGTAGCTGAGATGAATGACAAACTCCTCGTCATCCCATTTTCTACATTTCACAGAGAGCCGATTTTTCCATACATTTATTCTGTGCTCTTACCACCACACACAAAACATACTTGACTAAATTCAGCTCCTCCTTCCTCCTTTCATGTGTCCCTCTAGTGCTGGAAGGTAATACATTTTTTCTCCGAAACGGAACATTTCCAATCTCCAATTAACTTGTTTTGGTTTTGATTTTGTTTGGGGGTTTTTGTTGTTGTTTCGTGGGTTTTTCTGTGTTTTTTTGTTAAGTCGGGAAATAGTATTTCTGATTTTTGGGAGACCCTGGGTAGGGAAGAACAACTCACATGCACCACAAAATACATTGGACAACTAAGCCATTGATTTCAACGTCTGAATATTAAGACTTTTCTTTTTTTCTATTTGGTTTTTTGTAATTACCTTTTTTTCAAGTGGTACTGAACTGAGAACACAAAACCCACTGTATTTGAGTTTCAACCATAACTTACTTTTTTGGGGGGAGGATGTGGGTAAATCTGCTAATAAGCTCAACCAACACAACTGAAACACAGATCTGCAAGCACGACCTTGGACTTCTGCCCTGCACCAGAGGCACAGCCTTGCCAGCAGCCCTTAGCAAGTATCACTGGCATACACAGAGAGTAAGAACCCATACACAGAGAGTAAGAACAAAACAAAGTCCTGACAACAGATACGAAAAAGGTCTGGTCACTACACGCTTTCAAAGATGTCCCAAAGCCATAATAGAAGAGTACGTGTGTGAAGCTGGCAAAGGCATTTTGCTCAACAGCAGCTTAAAAAAAGTCAGAGGCCATTTAACGTAACTGGAGGTTACTCACAATACTAGGACGGGGTAGTGCAGCAAAGTGGCTTTCGGGCTAATAGGAGGACAAACATTGGAAAACATGGTGATGAAAAGATTAAAAGTCTGATAATGATACAATAAGATAGCTCTCCCACAGCAATACTGTGAATACTACAATCTCCGTTCAACTTCCTGAAACCAGATTTCTCTTTCTATTCCCTGACCGTTTCTCACAGAAACATATCACGACGGAAGAGGCCTCTCATTTTAAGAAGCACAGTAGCATGACATACTAAACTTTTTAGGTCAAAAGGTTCCTTTTCACATCTCTCTGCCTTACTCACAGTTAATGCATACAATAAGAGAGACACCATCTTTTCTAGCAGGAATTTCTACTGCCTCAGAGAAACGTCCAAGTATCTGGCACTTGTAGGTCCCACCAAGAACACAGTCATATCAGTAATTTAACTCGGTGCCACCTCTACTGATAGGACCTCTCCATCTAACTAGTGGGTAGAGAAAAAGCTATTCCCTGGTCAAACTTCAGGAGCCATTTCTGCTTGAAATAGCATAGTTTGTAATCAAAGACCACTTCAGACTATTGTACATTTTTAAACAGTAATGAAACATTGTCAGTATGAAGACAAACCGTATATCAATTTTTAATTAAGTGTTTCCACATCAAAAAAGTACTTTTTCCTACTCCGTCTTTTTTTTGCTTCAATGGCTAGGTGGTGCTCGCCTCCTACACTTCACTGAAGATTGTCTGTCTGTAAGGTAGAAAATCTATGAACTCCAAAATCCATTCTCTTGACATCTAAGTACGACGGGAAACACCACAGACACCAGCCATCCCACAGCACTGCGTACCATTCAACCTCCCTTCTTCTAGCACCCTTCTAAAACCCCAGTGAATCGGATGTATCCGCTGACTACAGACCTGCTCAAATATCTGCTGATAATTGCTTGCACGTGACAAAATGAAATTACCATAATTGGGATTAGTAACAAAACGTACACATTCCCAAAAGATTGGTCGTACTCAGTATATAAGTCGAGGTTGCAGGGAGAATTTTTCAACACAGAAATTCAAGAGATGATAGGGGATATTTCATTACAACATGGTATGGTGCAATCACACTTAAAATGCTTATCTTGCCATACTCTTCCTACAAGTGCATTTTTCATCAAATTAATTTCATGCAACAGCATTTTAGAAAAGAACAGTATGCATTGAGTAAATACTGAAAAGTATATCCCTCAGTTTCTCATCCTCAGCTGCATCCGCACTTTTGTTTAATTAGCATTACCCAAAAGAATTCCAGCCAGTCTAACCCATCTCGTACCATACAAAAGCTGTAGAAAAAAAATTGTAGCTTGTTTTAAATGCCTGAGATCTCCTCCCCTGAATGCAGAGCCAAATGCTGAGCTTATCTGGTTTCAAACTGCTCTTCTGAATTGCAGTGTTTGATTAAAATTTGTCTACTAGAGATTCACAGACATGACAGCACTTCTGGTGCCTGATGGTCCCAAAACATCTTTTTAGCTGCCTTTAAGAAAGAGAATCACTGCAAACAGTTAAGGGTACAAAACCATCTCCCCCTCACCGTCCCGTCCCCTCCCCCCCCCAAAAAAAAACCCACCACCCCACCTCAGAAATTCCAAAACACAGAAACCCACCCCCAAAAAGGAGACCCAGAGCTAGTTGGCATGATGAAGCATGGACTGAGGAAAGATTAGAAGAGGCAACTGACCATATGGAGGATAGGAAAGTCACCAAAAGAAACTGGAAACAACCGTGGGGGAAGAAAACAAGCTCCCTTCCCTCGGCACTTTTGCTATTGCCAGCACAGTAACTCGCAGGAAAGTAAATACTTGCAAACGCTATCACAGAAACTATTTGTAAAGCATCCCGCACAAATGCTTAGCCTGGTGTTCTCAACCGCATGAATTCAGTGTAATTTAATTTGAGAAAGTAAGTGATCTCATTCACTCAACTACTTCGCGTCACATACGGGCATTGCTTTTGCCTTTCAAAGGAGCGTTCGCAGCTACGATTTTGCATGGAGTTTCCGGGCTAATGAAAGTGCATCTAGGCTAGTAAAACAGACCAAAACAAATCCTTGAATTCAAGTCCTGTTGTGTAATGAGGAAGTTTAATTAAGGCCACACATTACAGCTATAAACCTTCTCTTATATAATAAGGTCTAAATGAAACTGAACCTAATCAAAGTTACAATTCCTTCATTAGCAAATTACAAACAAGAGCGCACAGCTGACACACCGGCTATGATTATCACAACTAATTGCCTCGTTGTTACAAACCAGCCTGAAACTGTGTTCAGATGTCCGTCTGCAGTAGCAAATTAGGGCCACATCAGGCTATTTCTGCGATCACAAGGGGCTCTTGTAGAGCGATCTGATTTACCCCGCCGACTGGCAGCACACAGCCCAATCAAAGCCCCCTCTACAAAGGCAGCTTTGAAGCCAGCACAGCCTAGAAACCTGCTCCATATGCAGGCCGGCAGACTGCACTTCATTAGGCCTGTTGTCACATTTTTTCCCTCTTCTTATTCTAATGATCCTATTTTAATACACATAGGAACCTCTCCTAATTGATGTCAAGTGAGTGACTTCCACATTCATCACCGCAGCACATCAAACACGTCTTGGCGCATGGGCCCGCCATCAGAGTGCTTAAGACCCGAGGTGTGTCTCCAGCTACGGAAAGCAAAAAAAAAAATATAGAAAAAAAAATTAAAAAAAGTATTTCAGCATTACCTGTTTAATTGGGATTGCGCGACCGCTTCCAATGCTATCTGTTCTGCTCTCCAGGACCTTCTTCTCTTTGTCTGGGTCACTCCCTTTCCGAGACTGCAGAGCAAAAAGAAAGTTTGTGCTCCATTAAAATGTAGCGGTTCACACAGAGGATGCGTTTTTCCCCCCCTCTTTTTTTTAAAAGCAATTATAAAAAAATTATTTTGACACATAAATACAGACTCAAAGGCTGTGAGTTAGAATCTACAAAAGTACACAATCACCCCAAAATCTGAATACTAAAATACCGCCTGTAATTTTCAACTATCCACTAGTTTGAAACGGCATTTGGGTTTAAAGAGTTACAGTTTCACTGCCTGAAGACCCAGCAGATCAGAGGATGAGTTTCTGAAGTTTCCAACAGTAGCTCCAAAGAAGAATGAAGGTTCCAGCTTCTCATTAAAAAAAATCTGATATATACATGCATACATTTAACTTACATGTGTATGTTTTTTAGAAATGTTACCAACTTAGAAATGCGATTTTATGATGCTGGTTTTGATCATATCGACTTTAGCTTTTTATTTTTCTTCTAATTTTGGATGGTCAGAAAGTTGGAATTTTAATAAAAGGTAGCAACCGATGCTGAAAAAAAGTTATCTGAACACAGTGAATTAAAATCAGCATGAGGAAAATTTAACCAATGTTTAAAACCTGAATTGCCTGATCTTGGCTTTCTGTAATGCTGAAACTGCCCTAGGAGTAAGCTCACAGTGCTTACTTCATGACTTTTTATAAAGTTATATAGGAATTTTAAGAAGTTATTCAGATTCTAGTCCATTGTTGTGAAAGAACGCATGAGCATAATGATTTTGACAGATTTATTTTATTACAAAAAGAAGACCTGAGAGTCATCCTCCTTAATAACTGAACTGACAAGTGACAACTTCACTCCATTACTTTTCAATAGGAACATTACTCACACAGTATCGAAAATGGGAAAACATTTTCATGTGCTTTTCAAATCAGAGATGATATATGAAACGAACAGATTCGTGATGTCCAGTACCACAATGGGAAGTTAATGAAAACCAGAGCGACACAAGATCCCGCTTTTTATTTTCAGAGGAAAGAGATGTTTGAAAGACACTGAAATTAGAAGAACAATTAGGATCGCAGGGATAGCTAATACCCATTTTCCGTATTATACGAAGGAGTGGAAGGAAGAAAAAAAGAAATAAATCCCCAAAGCAGTTGCCTTCAGGCACGAGAGGAGGGAAGGGGAGGGAGAAAATCCACAAGAGGAGGACTTCACGTAACACCATTCTAAGCAACACATTTACCCAGCAGGGATCCCGTGCCGCTTTCCCCGCTCCGCCGGGAACGGGCTCCTATCACTAGTTACTATGGTTCGGGGCAATGGAATGACGTGCTGGGGAATTAAACAAAGCATAAATGAAAGAAAGCAAAACAAGTGGGAGGGATGAAATCCAATGTTCAGGATAACTATTGTTCCTCGTCCTTCAAGACAGATTTCTGAATCTGAAAGTGCCACTTCCCAATAATACAAGGCAAAACAATGCTTCAATGGCGCAAAGCTCCCGTAATTGACATTTTAAAGAAACTCAGTGAAGGTAGCCAAATCCTTGGGAGGGAAGTTGTCAACTTGAATGTTTCTTTTTTATTTGACTTTTTAAAAGAAAGGATCTCGCCTCTGAAAAGCAAGCTAAATATCTATGCGCTATTTTTCATTTTTAATTTTAAATCATCATGTCTTCCATTCTGTAAAAGTAACTGCATCTGGAAATAACAAACTGCACGTAGAAGGGAAATATCTATATGCAAAATATCATCAAATGCCAAAAGTATAGGAACGTAGGAATTTGTGTTAGGCAAATTCTTTTCTAGCTGCCTGTGATCACAGAATACATAAAATTTTCAAGGGGAGAATCTTAGCAGGCTCTGCTATTTATAAAGACAAATTGTGCAGTGAAATAGAGATATATTCTGATCTGTTATGCTTTTGTATCTATGACAGACACAATGCATCTTACGTCCTTTAGTGTCAAAAAAACCCCTCTCTAAACCATACTGGATCAACATTTGCTAGACTTTTTCTGATGTCAGATCTAAACATTAAGTCATTCTATTTAAAACTTGATTTACGCGAACCAGAAAAAGCCCCCCAAAATTAAAACATCTGCATGAATATCATTTGATTCATTTCCCCTTTGCACGGGAAGCCATACGCAGACTTATGTCAACACAAAACCTCACCCAAGTTAGGTCTGTGAAATAAGATTGAGCCCCAGAGGGATACAGCACCCGAGTTTGGGCACAACCAGAATCCAGTATCAGCAGTCCAGAGAGTCCCAAAAGTGAGAATACTGATCTCTAACAATAGATATTGAGACAGGGAGTTCATTTTAACTTTTCAAAAAGTCTCGCTTGCTATTCTGCAAAGATGTAAGACCGGTAATATTGAATACAGGAAAGGAGATGGATCTTACTGTACCAGAAGTTCATTCACCCCATCTGGGACTGGAGACATCATTACAATCAGTGCTTTGCTGAAGCGGACCTCATACACATCTTAAATCCCCACCTGTGCTATACACTATTATTTAGTTGTCCCTGTTAATACATTGCACAAAACAAAGGGCATTTACTCTTCTGCTAATATTTGATCTATTTTATCGCCTAAGCAGAAAGTCAGCTATTGCAACAATAGCCTTACAGCAAATACTAATATTCAAAGTAAAAAAGATCAGATACTGCATTTAATGCATTTAAACATGAACACGCTTAAAATTCTCAGCCCTGTTCCAACTCAAAAGCTGTAATCGATTTAAGAAAAATCATACCTGTTTTCTACTTAACCCAATTTTCTTCCAACACTAAAAGATCTTCAGGTAGGAAACTAAACATATTACCTATGCTAGATAACAAGGGCTAATTTGCAATTAAACAGGAATATATTTGATTCTGTAAGTGATAAAGGCACAAGCAAGTAACAGGCTAGGAAAGAAGCACAGCAAGAAACACAGAGTTAAACAGTAAAATATTTTGATAACACGCTCTGTTCATAACTAGACAGAAAACACCTGTCATCTATTTATTCACCTAAATAATTCCAGGTTATAACTCGGCTGATATGGTGCGAGACCTGGGTTACAGCAGGGTCAGTGTTAAATACTTCAGGACATGGATTACAGCGCAAATCATTACACAACAATCATTATGCCCAGATCTTAAAACACAAAACTAATTCTGAGAAGTCAAATTATTATTAATTTTTTTCCCCCGTAGGACTTGTTTTCCCCCCAATTTTCCCCCAGTTATTACACCGCAAGACAACTATCAACCTCATCTCATATGAGTAAATTTGGTTCTCACTACGCTGTTAATTTTCCCAAACCAGAGCTTTAGTCTATTTGTTTACAGCAAACGCAGCTCACTCAACGTTCTTCCCAAACCTTTTTCCGCAACTGTAAACGGGCACATTTTTCTCAAATTCTCGAATTCACACTTACTCCAATTTAAAACACCCCCAGTTTCCCCAATGCCAAGAACATCTATACAGCCCTTATAGGAGGTTATGCAGCCTTCGGACCAGAAATGGTCGGCGAGGGGGTTTGCGGGATGCGGTAGGGTCTCGGCTCCATCTCCCGAGGAACGGCTCTGTTGGCAGTTTCTGGGCTGACACTGACACCTAGTGGGGTTGGTAACTCCTCACCATGCCCCAGCAGAAGGAAATCCGCATGAGTCGTCTAAAATATCAGCGTCAAAATTGGGTATTTTTTCCACGCGCCACTCATTTTCGCATCTTTTATTGGTTTGCGCTGAAGACGTTTGCATCTAAACGCAAACGCGTGGTTTTTATTCTTTCGTAGGAGTTTGAAGGTCTTGTTTTAAAAATCAAAATACCGTTGTCGGGGATGGACACATAAAATACGATCCCTGGGACTCTGTGCTGTCATTCAGCACCCCACAACTTGCTACTTGCTAAAGGCCAAGAGGGCACATTTTGTTTAGAGCACAAGGAAATGGTTTTACCATTTCTGTATGCGGCTCCCTGGATACGACCCAGGAGCGAGCTAGCTTTGGGAAGTGAACATGACATCACCTTTGGAATAAAAAAACCAAACAAACAACTCTTTATGATGATAAGGAAGTCATGGCTTTCTAAACGCAACTAACTTGTAGCTACAGAACATGACATCACCTTTGGAATAAAAAAAACAAACAAACAACTCTTTATGATGACAGGGAAGTCGTGGCTTTCTAAATGCAACTAACGTGTAGCTACCATCACCAAGGGGCTTACAGGCAAGCCCACAGGGATTCTGTGTTTGCTATAAAGCATGTTAAGCGTCCAAAATATGCTTATAAAACCATAATTACGCATGCAATACAAGCCCAAAGCTTTCAGCAAGACTGCAAAACTAAGGAAATCATCACTCAAGGCTTCATTATCATCTCCTGAACTACTTATGCATAACAAAGGCCTATCATATTGGACCAGTCAAGCTTTCTATTTAGTACTTTTTTTTTTTGCCTCTCAATGAAGCAAAAGCCAGATGGTTTAGGAAGAAAAAAAAATTCATTTTAATCTCCATCATCTCTCTTAACCCTGGAAAAGAAAAGTGAGTTGAGACTGTATAGTAATAAAAGTAGCACGGGGTAGCTATTTTGCAGTACCGCACGGTATTCCCATGGTAAACCCTCTCTACAAACACAAGAGACCTCACAAGGGAGAGCCCCGGGTCAGCAACATTATTCAGTGTAAGGGCAGGATTGGGGAGCAGAGGTCCAGCTTTCTCTTTGATTATTACCAAACCAGGGAATCTGGACAGATCTGAAATTCAAGTCAGACAAAAGCTCCAGAAATCAACTGCAGATTCACTTGTTTCACTGCAATTCCCAATAGGATACCCTCACTGTATTCAATTTCTGTTGAAGTCCTCAAACAAAACCGCCCCACAGCAATACTATGGTGTTTTTGTTACCGAGCCTACAGATCCATCTCAACACTCCTGTCGGGATTTAGACCAGTTCAACTCAATAGGGTTGAAGTTCAGGCCGTCACCACAGAGCACTATGTAAAACACAGCAATAGTCTCTTCCTTGGCTCACTCACCGTGAAGAGGTTGGATCGGCGCTTGGACTGTTTACGGACAGGAGTTGGTGTGTTGGCAGTGGGAGGAACATCAATCCGTAGCTCCTTCTGGCTGGTACTTGGAGTTGATGGGACAGAGGAGGAATAATCACTTAAACTGCCTCCTCCATTACTGGTCTGCAAGGATTAAAGTTAGTTTTAAACAGTGATACACTGCTTTCAAGAAATTACAATCCACAGCTGTATCTTATTTAGTCCTGATATGCAAGAATAGCAGCCTAGGCTCAGGAACACAGCGGGACTGCCTTACTGCCACTTTTCCACACATTTCTATTCCAAGCCCTTAAATGTTTTCTCTGCCATTATTTTTTTTTAAAAACTTAAATAGGTCTGTTGATATGGCAGGCACATTTTCCACAATATAACCTTAACTGGGTATAAACAGTTTCATTTGTTTGACTAGTGTACGAGTAAGCAAAACACTGGGGAAAGTCTGTAAATTCTGTTTTTCTACTTCTAAACTGCTCAACTAAATTCTGCCTCAAACCTAAGAAAAAATACCTAGTGCCATAGAACTGCATAGCTGGACTTAATCTTAGCCTGGAGATACCAGTTCACTGAAAGCTAATCAAGAAAGTGAAAATAATTCAACGTAAAATGGCTGCTATGGTGAGAGAGAGTTCCCAACACATTTGTTTAAGTCATTGGTACAGAGATACAAAACTCTAAAGGAAGACATTCCAATTTATTCAGAGTACCCAAAAATGTAAAGTTACATCACAGTCTTGAAAGAAATAAAGCACTTAGCCTATAAAACAATTAATGAATTCAGGTAACAAGTTACTAACACAGCAGGAAGGTGAGGAAACGGGACAGAATGGAAAGGACCAAAAGGTCATTAAGAACAAAGTCGTGATTGTCTTTGTCTTGTTTGTTTTGGGTTTGTGTTTTTTTTCTTTTTTATTATTACGCATAAATGAGTACTAAAAAGGTCATTAAAAAGGATGTGGAAGTAGTCTGGAAAGACAGAAGGACAGATCTGGTTTCTTTTCCTATCAGACACAAGCATACCCTTTGAGGATATACTGTATATGCTGATGGGCGACTAGGGCAGGGCAAAGGTGGGAAATTGTGCCCGCTGTTGACAAAAAGCTCACCAGAAGAGCAGCAGTGGGTGAAGGGTCTGGACAACAACTCACACGTAACTTATGAGGGGGGAAATAAAGGTCTGCAATGCACACAAAAGGGTGAAAGAACATCTTTAAAGCAGCTAAGTTTCCTAAAAGAAGTGAGGGAAGAAGGTAAGAGGGTATGAAGATTCTCCCATGACACTTGACCCGTTACTTGCTCTCATCTTAATTGCTGTAGGTAGGAATTCACCAGTTGAAGCAGCCCAAAAGGAAAAGCAGGTACTCCAAAGCCTACCTTTCAGTGTTGCCCCTACACTAGCGACTGGTCTTACTCCTGCACAAAGCTGCTGTGCAGGGGAGGCCCTCGTAGCTTGACGGGACTTCTCACACACTCCTTGGACCAGGATCTCAAGTTGCAAGCACTCAAGATGAAACCTCTGAAGGAGAGCCCAGGAGGAGACAAACCTTTACATCATTCAGTTGAAGTCTCTTTTAATGATTTCGAGTCCTTTGCTGATTCTTCCAGCTTTTCCAAATTGTCCCCCGCTTTTTTTTTTTTTTTAAATTCAAGAAGCAAAGAATAAAAAGGAAGAGGCATGAGACAAGCAGCTCATGCTTGGGCTGAAGGGTCAATTAATGCAGACAGAAATCCAAGAACACCGCTTCTGAAAGTCACTGTTTCTTTATAAATAACAACATGTTCCTCAGCTCATTTCTGTGTGACAAAACAGGACTGACAATACAGCAAATGAGCTTTCTGATGGAGAAAGTTCTCCTCTTCCCCTCTTTAACAGGCTGCCCAGGGAAGTGGTGGAGTCACCATCCCTGGAGGTATTTAAAAGACGTGTAGATGTGGTGCTTAGGGACTCGGTTTAGTGGTGGGCTTGGCAGTGCTAGGTCAACAGTTGGACTCGACAATCTCAAAAGTCTTTTCCAACCTAAATGATTCTATATACACATATATATAAGACATTAAATTTCATCTTCCCTTCATTCTGACCAAACTGGTGAAGCATGGCTGTCAGGAAGTCAGAGGTCAGGGTACTGAAAGTAACAGAAGATCTTGAGAGAGGTTTTCTACAAAATTTTCAAGTACCCAGAGGAAGCAGCAAGAAGAATTTGGAGACGGCCCAAGTGTATAAAACAAAGGAGATGAAAGACCAAGAGCTGAAACGATGATTTTTAGTGACCTAACAGAGAATGATAACACTGGAGAGATGAGCAGGACAATCTGGGAAGAAATGACCTTAATTTACCCCACATTCAGCTTCCCTTTCTCTGTGGCATCTTGCCGAGACATCAAGTAAGACACCGAACATAGAGGACAGCAAACGGTCTGCGTGAAGACACACTGAGCCTGTGGAAGTCAGAAATTACTTCTCCAAAGAAACAAAGGAAAGACTCTTGCATGAAAAACAGTCATGCAAAAACACATACCTAGGACACTCAAAGCGATCGCCAAAAGTTTGCCAAAGTTCAAACAGCCAAAGACTTTGAAAGTAAGTCTTCAAAGCACTGGACATATCAGAAATGAGGAGAGTGGTGTGGAAGCCTTAAAATGTGGCTGACAAAAGAGGGTATAGGAAGAGAACAACTGGAAACTCATCAACTGTAAAACAGCATTAGAGAAGGAGAAGACCAAAGACGTTGGTGTCAAAGAATGGCTTTCCAAATAGAGTGGTGAGGACCTACTGTCCACTCTGCCATGATTGAACCAAACTGGGGAACTGGGGTAGGGGAAATGAGGGAGAAGGAAGTCTAAGAAAGCAACCATTAAGGGGAAAAGGCACTGAACACATTTAAGATTAAAACTATGCAGCTGCAAGGCTCACCCAAGGAGGGGAAAAAAAAAAAGATGACAATAAGCGATGAAGACGGTGGAGAAAGGAAAGATAACAACAGGGTTATGCCTCAAAACACTTAGAAGCAGCCTCTTCTACAGAACGGAGAGGAAAAAGGCAAGAAGGAAAGATTCAGATGTTGTACATTGATGACAGGAGTTGAACCACAAGCTGTAAAAAAAAAAAAAAGGACGCAGCTATGTTCTGCTTCATAATATTGATCAGCTTGATAACTATGCTCCACCATCTTTTTTTTAAAAAACTAAAATTAACAGATTTCTATTCTAAGTGCCAATTTCCCAGACAGAGCACATAAAGGATTCCCTAAAATGTTACCTTTTTAACCTTTCGCCATCTTATAGCATCCTTTCATACTTTTTGCAGTGAGGCACTGCCTCCTAGATTTTTAAGTGTTCCCCGCCCCC